GAGGTCAGATCCTGCAGTGGCACTGCTGGGGCAGGGCACAGATGGATTCAGCTGGAAGCAGGGAGCCAGCGAGGTCAGATCCTGCTGGGGCACTGCTGGGGCAGGGCACAGATGGATTCAGCTGGAAGCAGGGAGCCAGCGAGGTCAGATCCCCTCTGGTTTTCCGTGGGGAGCTGCTCAGCTCAGCTGCAGCCATCTCCAGCTCAGATGGGGATGCTGGAGCTGCTGCATGCAGGTTGGTGCTGTGAGTGCTCAGGGTGCCCGTGCTGTGTGTGGGGCAGGTCCAGCTGGGACTTTCCATCCTGCTGCTCCCACGGGAGCCCTGAGCAGCCTGGTTTGCACTTAGCTCCACCAGCATTAGTCAGAGCAGCTTCTCTTGAAATGCCTCAGCTTCAATTTCAGCTCATTTCATCAATCACTGCAAAGGAGCTGCTTTTGCCACGGTGTCAGGGCTCGTGGCTCAGTAATATTTGTTTTTCACAGGGGCAGCTGGGAGCCTGTGGAAGCGTCAGCTTTGGTGGCAATCTTATTTTCAGTGTCAGAGGATGAAAAATAATTCAGAATCTGTTGAGAACAGCTGTTGTGTGGGCCCAGGAGTACAATGTGATACACTGGCTTTATTGCAAAAAGAGTTTGCTTAAAATGAAGATGGGAAATCAGTTTGTGGTCTCAATTTTATCCTGTGGAAGGATGGAGCAGTGGCTGTGGCTGATCTGGAGGAGGTTGTCCAGGGAAAGAGCAGGGAAAGCCATAATATTTGTGATAATGGGGATATTTTGTAACTGTTCTGTAGCTTAAACCCCTGCTTATTAAATTATACATTTTGCTAACAGTAATCAGCATAAGAGATGTACCCTGGCATTGAAACTTTTCTGTTGTGTTGGCTCTTTGTGCTTTGTAAAACTCGTCTTGGAAACTGCTGAGAGTGATGAGAACAAACATGAGCTCAGCTCTGGAGGGACCTGAGCAGGGCTGGAACCTGAGCTGAATATATCCATTTTTAAATTTGATTTTAAAGGGAATTTCTTGTCAATCCACATCCCTGTGCTGGAGGTGTTCTAAACCAACGTTAGCACCCATTACAGAAGGAGCTCTTCCAGCTCCTTACACACAGGGAGATGTATTTGTGGTTAAGGGTGAAAATTACATAAATTTTAAGAGGGATTAGAGAGTTTAAATTAATGAGACACAGCAAGGATTAGATAGATGAAAATTAAAGGTGTGTGCAGAAGGGATAGCCATCTTCAGCTTACATCTTCTGGGCTTTCAGGGGAGGAAATCCTTTCCAATCATTTGATTCTTTCTCTTAAGTGCTCTCATCTGATGTGGATGAAGGTTCAAGGTCTGCATTTCTTGGTTAAAATCTCATTCTGTGTTTACCCCATTGCCGTAGAGTACTTAATCCAGCACTTAATTCTGCTTTTTTTCCTGTGCTGAGCTCAGCAGCTGTATTGCAGTAATAGCAAATAAACTGTAAATAAACAGATAATCAAGATCATTGAAATTTTTTCGAGTGAAAGGTTTCACTGTATTGTTACCATGTAAATACTGCTCTTATTAATTTGCATAGATATAATGAATGTGTGCCCAGCTTTAAATAATGTATTAAAAAGAATTGAGCAGGGCTTAGACAGCACTATGCAATTAGTCTTCTCTGCTTTGCTGGAAATCACACAGGCCTATCCTAAAAGCTTGTTGGCCCAGTTCCCCATCTGTCCTCTCAGTTTCCACATCCTCCCTCTCATTTCCTTCCAAATCTAATCTCTGGGGTTTTCCTTCTCTTTTCCCTTCCAGTTCTCACCTTGCTGTTGTCAGAATGCCTCTTGAGCAGCATAAATTTTTGTTGCACAGTGTATGTTCAAATTTGCTTTAGGCTTAGCATAGGGAGATGGCAATGAAAGAGAGTTGTGTTAAAATTGAGAGTTATTTTTTTTTTCTCCTCTTGGATTTCAGTTAGATCATTTAATGCTGATTTTCCTTCCATTTCCCAAGCAGACTGATCCCTTCCATGTCCCTGGCTTTTGCCAAAATCCACCTCAGGAAGGGCTGTTCCTGAATTAAAGCCACAGAATCGGTGCTGAGGTGCTGGGTGGTGGCACCTGGAGTGCTGGGTGGAAGTCTGGGCAGAGCAGGTGACTGTCACCTGGACTTGGGGACAACGTTGTTTGCTTTGCCTACGTAGAAAGAGCCATTTAAAAGGATCTGCAGGAATTAAAAGGATTTGTGAGGCTCTGTTCCTGCAGTGACATCAGTGGCTGTACTGACAGCCCTCCAGCAGGAGGTGAGGCAGGGTGAGATGCTGAAATTGCTGCTGAGCCTGCAGGATCCAGGCAGCAAAGCCTGTGTGCCAGCCTGCAGGAGGGGCTGGGGCTGGGGAGGGCAGGGGGACAGTGCCCTGGGACAGGGGGACACTGCCCTGGGGCATGGGGACACTGCTTTGGGACAGGGACACTGCCCTGGGGCAGGGGGACAGTGCCCTGGGGGAGCAGCATCTGTGACAATGCCCCCACTCCATGACACATGGCATTTTCCTCCTGTGCACGTGTCTGTGGTCAGGGCTGTGCTCTGGCTGACCAGGAGGGTCAGGGGATGGGGCACTTAGCAGGGAAATGGAAATGCTGCCATTTTTTTGTGTTTGAGGATACACAAATACAGCCCATCCACATGTTGATGAGGTACAGTGGTGTGTTACACTTTAATTCTCACATAATATATGATACATATATAAATGTTTAATTCTCATATTATATATTTATATATAAAATAAGGACAGCAAAGGGAGAGGAGTTAAGGAGCCCCTTGGTGTTTGTGGAGGGCTTGGGAGCAGCAGAGATTTCTGAGTTCTCTTGGTGTGCTTGAGGCTGTTCAGAATAAATCAAGTGAGCTCATGCATTGTGGTGCATTTTTGGGGCTTTTTGTCCTCCACATTGTCCATGAAGAGCTCTGGGAGGCAGGTGGGGTTTCCTGTGGGGATTGTGAGACATCCCAGAGGGGCACTGGGGCAAGTGTGGCACCTCCAGCCAAAGTCTGCCGTGGCCCTCAAAGGCCAGGAAAAGCCTGCTAGGAATGGCAAAGCTTATCTGGTGCTAGAGGAGGAGTCTCACACTGGTTATTTAATTAATTTCTTTTATCAGCCTGGATTCTTGTTCCCACTCCTCCTCCCTTTTTGTGTGTTTAATTGAAAAAACACCTCCAAGGCAGGAGGTGGGGGCTGAGCAGCCACGGGGTCTTTCTGGCAGCGTGGCATTTTTGGGGACACAGCTTGGTGTAAAAAAGGTGTTTGCTCTGTCCAGATATGTACAGAAGGATGTGTGGCTGCAGCTTACAAGGAGAACTGTGCAGTGTTGTGGACATGCTTGAAAAATGCAGGAAAATAATTGGTGTGGGAAATGATGTAGCTGGGGGCCTGAGCTGCAGAACAGTTGCTTTTATGAAATTGGGAACTGCAGAGTACAATTAGCTGTCATTAATTTTGTTGAATAGAAATATGTTCCATTTATTGTACAATCAGGAGCCAGGCTTGAATGAGTTTAAATAGATGAAATCTAAATTATACTGACAGTCCATTAAACAGCAGCAAAACCCCTTAAAGAAAATGGATTCACTATGATACCGGTTTATAATAAAATCATTTGCCAAATAAGAACTATAGTCCAGGCACTGGGAATACTCCTGTGAGCTCCAAATGAACACAGTAAATTGGTTGAACCATTTATTGCAGAGCAGGGCTCCAGCTCCTCGTTCCCTGACAAGGAGCCAGCAGCGATGTGCTCAGCAGGCAGTGACCCTGCAGGATCAGCTGGCACTGTGTTGTGTTCAGCCCCACGGGGAGAGGCATGCCCAGCTCCCTGTCCCTGGGAATGCTGCTGCAGCCTGCACTGGGGCATTGCCAGGGGCCTGGCTGCACTGCTGGGCTGGGCACTGAGCCCCTTCCCAGTGCACTGCTGCTGCAGGTTTGGCACTGAGCCCCTTCCCAATGCACTGCTGGGCTGGGCACTGAGCCCCTTCCCAGTGCACTGCTGCTGCAGGTTTGGCACTGAGCCCCTTCCCAATGCATTGCTGGGTTTGTCACTGAGCCCCTTCCCAGTGCACTGCTGCTGCAGGTTTGGCACTGAGCCCCTTCCCAATGCACTGCTGCAGGTTTGGCACTGAGCCCCTTCCCAATGCACTGCTGGGCTGGGCACTGAGCCCCTTCCCAATGCATTGCTGCTGCTGCAGGTTTGGCACTGAGCCCCTTCCCAATGCATTGCTGCTGCTGCAGGTTTGTCACTGAGCCCCTTCCCAAAGCATTGGCTCCCTGATGAGCTGTGACTGCTGGCACCCTGCTGCTAATCACATTTATCTCTTCTGGGGGTGCTCAGGGGAGGTGACATTTGACCTGGGCCACCTGGGAGGTGACATTTAACCTGGGCCACCTGGGAGGGTCCTGGGCTTCCCGCGGGCTCTGGCTCAGAGCAGTTCTGGGGCAGGGTCCAGGGCTGCCTCAGGGGCTCTGGGACCTCTGAGCCTTTTCATTTCAGGCACCAGGATGAGGAGTGTAAACATTCCTCATTTCAGGAGTGTAAATATCCTTCAACTGCTGGTGCCACAGCTTGAGCTCAGGGTGGCTGTGCACACATCAGAGCGAGCTGGTGGCTGGTGAGACCTGCTGGGGAGGGGTTGTAGATAATTCCTTGACAAAGGCTTTCAAGGAATATCCTCCCTGTGGAAGTGAGTGCTGTGCAGAGAGCCTGTGGCTTTGTTCCTTGGATGATGGAAGTGTTGACTCATTAGGTAAAACATGAAAGGATTCTAATTGTGGAGGTGGTTTCTACAAAAACTGCAGCGTTTGAGCTGCTGAAGGTTCAGAAAATGGAGCTGGTTGGGGTGTTTTTCCAAGGGAATTTTTTACGTCCATGCATTGAAGCTCTAATTTTAAAAGCAGCTTTTAGTGTGGGAATATTAATGTAACCCTTCAGAAGTAGGGCACATCTGGTGAATATCACGAGCCCAAAGGCAGAATGACTCTGTACCATGTGTCAGGGAAATGCTTCATCTCCAGTGGGACGTTCTACACGAAATGGGGAAGTGAGCAATGCACTCATGGCTCAGGCTGGCAGGGAATCCAGTGGCTGTGCAGGGCACTCAACATTTCCTTACTCTGTATTGCAAGGCTTATGGAAACTCCTCTTATTTTTATTTTTGTTAACTTCCTTTCAGAGCATTTGCTGGTTTGTCATTGCTAAACTCTGTGATTGAACACATCAGATGTTGAAACTTGTCTGAGTTTTGGGTGGCTGATGTGAGTGCCTCTGTAAATATTCTCCTTTTCTGGGGGCATCTTTGGAGTTCCTATCATCCCCAGCATTGCTGTGCACCTGGATAAACTTGTTTTTCTTATCTGCCTGGCCTCTCCTGCTTTGGAGCTGGATGTCATCACTGTTTGAGGGCTTGGCTGGCAGCCAGCAGTGCCTCCCTCAAATGCAACCCAGAGGAGTTTTTATCCACAGGAGATGCCCCAGCCCCTCGCTCTGTGCCAGGGATGCTTGGCTGCTTGTGCTGCCTGATAAAACTCTGAAAATGAGGCTTGCTCAGCCCGGATACCGAGGGGAAAAAATGAAAAAGAAAAGATCTTGCAGGTTGTGGTGCTGTGTGTGTGGAATCTCCCTCCCTGCAGTGAGAGCTCCTGCAGGATGAGCATGGATGGTCCTGAGCAGAGCCTGCAGCCTTGTCCAAGTGCCCTGATCAGCCCAGGAAATCTGGGACAACCAAGGGAATACCGGGGTGGGGTGGAATTGCTGGAGCTTCCAAATGAGCTGGATTTGAAATGTGTCTTATAAAACTCGGAGATTTTGGAGGTTTTCTGTGGAAATCCCAAAAAGTCCATGGGAAGTCCCTCCCAGGACAGGGGTGTTTGTTGTCTCTCTGTGTTTGGAGCAGCAGCTCCTTACCTGTGTGTGAGAGGGGTCACCAGGACATTCCTTTCAATATTCCTTGGCTTTGGGGTTGGCATTTTCTGTTGAGCAAGCTGTGTGTGAGTGTGCTGAGTTCCAAGGTCAGGATCATTAATCAGGCACTTCTCTGCCTTGTTTTCCTTCCGAGGGCACTGCTTTTGTTGTAGTTATTGCCAAGACTGTTTTGAACACAACAGACCTTATGTTACAGCAGCCTTGGAGAGCGCAGTTGTCAAAAGCAAACAGAAATAATGACTGTGTTTCTGTCTTGTTAAATGTAATTCGAGAAAGCGCAGGCCTTCCCTGAGGTAAATCTAATTTAAGTTTGCTGTGTTTCATCTATGATTGGTTGCCTTGGTTTTCTTCACAATTAGAAGAGAAAATATGTTAGTGCTGGGTTCTTAATGGCAAGCTGACCACGAAAAATCTGATTATTTTCCTCTCTTATTTTGGTCTGGTTCATAGGCTGTGACCTGGTCATTGTTATTAACTCAATCCAGAGTGGTCTTTAAATTCCTTTCTTTTTGTTTCCCTAGCAAAATGTCTATTCAAATCCAAGTTAATTTTTATGCAGTTAATTCCCTTATTTATCATCATAAATAGCTTCCATTTTTAGATCACACTCAGAATAAATTACACAATATGCAAATGCAGTGGTGGTTCTTTCAAAGTTTAAGCTGTATTTGAATTCATCCTGTTGTTGTGTTCTTCTTGGAGGCACAGAAGTTAATGCCCATTATTCTGAAATCTTGTGTTTTTAAAGATTGCGTTTATATCGAAAGTCGCCGGCCGAACACGCCCTATTTCATCTGCAGCATTCAAGACTTCAAACTGGTAAGGAACATTTTCACATCTCCTCCTTTCCCCGTCCCCAGGCTCCAGGGGGGGATATTTCCTAGCCTGGATCCCTTCCTGCAGCTCCTCGGAGTGAATCTTTCCCCTCTGAGCCAGGAGCTGGTTTTTGTTAAACCCCAGCCCTGTCCTTGGTGCAGCCTCTTGATTTCTCTTCCAGTGTGAGATACCAACAGGAAACCAGCCTTGTTTTGCCTTCAGCTAAATATGTCAAGTGAAGCAGGAAAGTTAAAGTCAACAGCTTTGAAACGTCGCCCACTAATTAAATACATTATCGTGTTGGTTGTCACAAAAGAAAAGTTTTTGGCTGAGTGTGTGAGCCTTACCTTCTGCTTCCCCTGGCTCTAGGTGCAGGCTGGGGACAGGAGTTGGTGGGGGTGTTTTGCTGATGAAAACAGGAACATAAAGTTATATTTTAAAAAATGAGAGGGAGTTAAAGATGACACAGCCAATGCTGTGCATCATCCTGCAGGGTGAGGGGTGCTGGAGCCATTCTGGGGTGGGAATAAAGTACCACTGATAAACTGGGCATAGACTGGGCTTTAATTTGCTGTTTGCAGTAAGATCTGAGATCACAGCTGGACGATTTTATGTTTGTTGCTGAGCTAGAGGTGTGCCTCTCACTGCAGGATCAATAGCATCCCTCAGGATCCCTTCCCGAGGTGCTGCTGTCTCAGGTGGCTTTGGGGAGGGAGCTGAAGGGCAGCAGCACTGAGGGTGTGACAGGAGGGCTGCTCTGCCACTGAGGAATGCACTGATGCTCCTGCAGCTGGAAAACCACTTGGAAAAAGCTGAATTTCAGTGCAGTGTGAGCCTCCAGAGCAGTGCTGCTGTCCCACAGCTGCTGGGGTGAGCAGCAGCCCTTGGTGGGGAAGAGCTGGGAGATGCTGGTGGGAGTCATTCCTGTGCAACCTTGTGCTCAGAGAAAGAGAAATTGAGAGGTGCTGGTGGGAGTCATTCCTGTGCATCCTCTCTCAGAGAAGGAAAAATTGGGAGAAGCTGATGGGAGTCATTCCTATGGATCCTCTCTCAGAGAAGGAGAAATTGGGAGATGCTGATGGGAGTCATTCCTGTGGATCCTCTCTCAGAGAAGGAAAAATTGGGAGATGCTGGTGGGGGGTCATTCCTGTGCATCCTCGTGCTCAGAGAAGAAGTTTTCCCCCCAGATGCCCACAGAGAGGAGCTGCTTAAATAAAAATGCCATGCAGGCTGTGCTGCAAAGGAGAAGGTGTGTGGGGCTTGAAGGGAACATCAGCTCCTCTGCAGTGGCATCTGGAGGTGGCCTTGTCCCCCCCAGGCCTGTCCCACCCTGGCTTTGCCCCCACTGAAGAGCAGCATGTCCTTGCTGGACCGGGAGCACTGTGATGGTTTGGCTTTGGGTTGGAATTCTGCACAACTTGGAGCAGTTCTCTGGGAATACACTGCTTTATTTTTGCCCTCCAAGCCTGAAATGTGTGAGTGCTGGCTGGTAAAAGTGCAGCTTCTTTTTCTCCTCCTCACAGAATGATGGGGTGGCAGGTCAGGTGGGAAGGTGTGAGATCCATAAATGCTTTTCTTTGTTTGCTTCACTTCACCAGTTTGAATTATTGAGCTTAAAACATTTTAAGAGTGAAATTGCTGTTGTCTCTCAGAGGAGTGTGAGATAGTTGTCTGTATTTTAAAAAAAGGCATAGATGATTTTTTTCTCTACTGATTGGGTTATTCTGTGCTGCCTGTGTCCCAGAACATTTTATTAATCTCTTTTTGGTGCTAGTTCATTTTCTTTGGATTAATACTATCCTCTTTGAGGATTCAAGACCAGATTATTCTTAAGGACTTTGATTAGGAACAAACTGTGGCGAAGCAGTGATTCACTCTGAGTTTGCTCTATTGCCTTACCTGTTTTTATTGGTTTTATCAGTATTTGCTCTCCCTCCTGTCGGGGCAGCTGAGCCAGTGCTTGGCTTCAGGTGGTCTCCTGGAAATCTGGATTATGCAAGGTCATGGCTGGCTTTAAAGCAACTTTTCTCACCTTGTTTTTCCCTTGGGAAACACTTCTTTCCCCAGTTTAAGCCTGTCCTATCCAGCTCACAATGTCAATTACTTTAAAAATGTTGTTTTTTAAAAAAGGAAACAGCAAAATGGAATTGGAAAGCTGGAAGGTGGAGAAAGCCTGTGAAGGGGCAGAGTAATGTGGCTTTAATACTTTCCTGGCATTGCCTGCTGAGCAGCTTTAAGGAGGAAAATGGTGTTTTCAGAATGGTCAAAGTGAGGTCCTTACCATGGCATTCAGGCTTTGCTTGCTGTGGGTGTTTTTGTTCCAGAACAATCTTACAGCTTGGGGTTTAAATTACACAGGCAAATCAATAAAATGGAAGCAGTAAATGCTCTGGTGCATTAAAAACACATAAGTTTCTCTGATTATTATTATTTTTTTTTCCTGTGAGAAAAGGTTCAGGTTGTTCACATCAGGACTTGTCTCCTGGGTGTCAGCCTGCTGCTTTCCCCTTCATCCTGCAGCAGCACCAGTGCATTTTGAGCCGTGCAGTTGTGCCCACAGCAGCCTGCTGCTGTCAGAAATCCCCATTTCCTATTCATCAGCAGCTTAGGGAAGCATGCTTCTCGTTCATTTTCATTTGGCACGAGTCAAACATTTTAAAAATCTACAGGCTTGACGAAGTATTCCTTAAATGCTGCAAATACCTTGATCAAAGCAGAGCAGAGCTGCTGAGCAGGGGAGGGGAGCTGGCAATTGTCTGCAGCTCTGAGGAGAGGACAGGGAATCCAGCGCTGCTTCTGCTCCCCTCAGGGTTAATTTTTCCTGAATTGATCCAGTCCTGACTCATTTGGTGTCTGCTCGTCCTGTTGTTGTGGGCTCTGAGCTCTGCTGGGAATTCTTCAAACCTGGCCAAAATCACTTTGATCTCCTGCAGGAATGGCAGCTGGGATTTCTGGAGGAAATGGCAAAGCTCAGCCAGTCCCGTTTGTCATTCACACCCAGCACCTTCTGCTGCTTCCTTCCCACTGCCCCCCAAAAGGAAACAAGTCCTTTTGTCAAAAATCTGCCTTTAATTGAAGAGTGCTGTGTTTTGAAAGTGGAAATTCTCGCTGAATTTCCTTTCAGATCAGGCCATTTGAAGGAACAGATTTGTAATTTCTTCAGGCTGAGGGTATGGCTTCAGAGCTAAAGGTTTTTTTTATTAAATAGTAGTGTTTAATGTGTTTCTTTTGTAGTTTACACTGATGGTAATACAAAGAATTATAAACAGTGAAATTTCCTTTCATCTCTTTGTTTGTGGTTAACAAGTCCTAAAATTCGGTCCATTCTCTTTATCTTAATTAAAATGTTGATTGTGATTACTTCTGGCTGATGAAAACACACAATTCAAACTCAGCTGAGTGCCTTGTGTGAGAAAATCCAATAAATGTGCAGAAATTCAGTTCCTGTGTGCACCCAGTGGGTTAAGGGACATTTTATAACCCCACACCCCAGAAACAGAAATTAAACCTGCTTTAGGGAGGGCTCTGACTGCTGTGATGGGAAACCCAACAGGAATATCCTTGGGAATCCTTCAGGAGCTCAGCAAGGCTCAGGGAGCTCAGCCAGGGGATGTGTCCCGAGCTCTGGGTGTTCCTGGTGAGTTTGCCTCCTCAGGAGTGGTTGTGAGCCAAAAAAACCCTGCACTGTTGCTTGCAGGATTGTTTCATCCCAATGAAAGTGTCTTCCTCACCTGAAATAGCCAGCTGTTGGCTTTAAATATATGATGCAACAGCAGTAATTACATTTCAGATATGAATATATTAATTATGTAGTGCCTCTAAACCCATGCGGATCCAGCTTTGATTAAGGCTCAATTTAAATATCAAAAGTAGTGCAGAGCCATGTCTGTGGGAAAGGGCTGTGCCTGCCTGCAGAGAGCAGAGGTGGGAGAAGCTGCCTGAATTTGGGGGTTTGGGAAGGGACACAAGGTGGGATTGCCCCAGTGCTGAGCTGGGCCAGGGAGTTGTGCTGGGGTGGGGGGTTTGGGAAGGGTCCTGGAGCAGCTCAGGGGGGCTCTGGGGGATGTGCTGATCCTGGAACAGCTCAGGGGGGCTCTGGGGGCTGTGCTGGGGTTTGGGAATGGTCCTGGAACAGCTCAGGTGGGCTCTGGGGGATCTGCTGGATCTTAGAGCAGCTCAGGTGGGCTCTGAGGGATGTGCTGGGGTTTGGGAATAGTCCTGGAACAGCTCAGGGGGGCTCTGAGGGATGTGCTGATCCTGGAGCAGCTCAGGGGGGCTCTGAGGGATGTGCTGATCCTGGAGCAGCTCAGGTGGGCTCTGGGGCTGTGCTGGGGTTTGGGAAGGGTCCTGGAGCAGCTCAGGGGGGCTCTGGCACCAGCAGCCCCAGCTCAGGGGAAGGGGGCACAGGGACAGGAGCACCGGGGCTCTCACCCAAAAAGCTGATCTGCGTTTCCCCTGGGACAGCAGGTGGAGGTGAAGGGAGAGGTGGAGAAGGAAGCAGAGGCAGGGCTGGCTGAGGAGTGAGAGGCAGAGCAGAGGCTCAGGCTCTGTGTGAGCTGAGAGCAGCTCATCCCTGCAATTACACTCATTTATTTCTGCATTCCTCCAAACACAGCAGAGCTGCAAACCTGCCCTCCCATCCTGCCGTTTAGACCTTTCCTGGTGCGAGTTTCCAGCTTGGATAAATGAGTCCAAATTGCCTTTTTAAGGTTTTCCTGTGCTCCAGAGGGACCCAGAACACCACCAGCAGATGGATTTCAGCAGCGTGTTTGTGCTTTCTGCATCCTGCCTTAATTTGATGTCACATTTAAAATGCTAATGGCCACACTCTGAATGGGAGCATCAGAGGGAAACTTTACACCGGGAAAACGCTGAATTTGCCACACAAAAGGAAACGTTATTAATTGTGATGCAGTTGCCCTTTGTGCCTGTGTGTTTACTTGATTGAAGCATCTTGACTGTGGAGCTTTCTCCTTGAAGCCTGATTTGAATGGAGGATACAG